GTACAGTGAACCTTGCCGATGAACTTTGTCACTTACACATTAAATCTGTTTTTACAGACACCTTTGCCGGTGGTTCTTTAAGAGATCTTAAGACACTCTTAGCTCCTCCCTGTGAGGACCTGAGATTTGGCAGCTCCTCTCCTGCTCCGAGCGTGTTTCAGGTGTATGACAGAGACCTGTCCTTTTCCCATGGGAGAAAAGCATCTGCTCCTGAGCCATGTTGCTTTCCAAGATAAAGGTTGTGGGAATTTGGGACACAGCAAAYTCTCTCTTCTGCACCCTTCCAAGTTAGCTCAAGTTTAGCAGTCCTGAGTCAGAGTTTCGTTGCTTTCCAAGACCTTGGGGCATGGAGCCTTGTGCTGTTTTATGTGAAAGCTTCTAGAACCAAACTGAAGCGCTGAATGTTGTTCCACAGAGAACACTTCCCATTGCTGTGGGCATTTTTTTCCTAGACACATCCTGTCCTCTGAGGTAGTTTTTTTTGGAGCAAAATCTGCATCTGAATATACTGGTTGGGATGGTCTTCACAATGAGGGAACTTCACTTTGAGGGCATTGAATTTGTGTACCTTAAATTAAATGACCGTAAGAGCTGTGCTGGTTTCTACTAGGAGAAATAAAAAATTACAAATATCCACCATCTGGTGCTATCTGGGGTACCAGCTGTTTCTGTACTATTCCGAAGGAAATGCTCTATCTCCACCATCCTTCTGCAGTAYCCTTTCCTGGATATGAGTTGAGTGGTGGTAAAACCAAATGGGCCATCTTGAGAGCTACACCTTCTCTGCTAGGTCATCTCCTTACACACAGCCTATTGAAACTGCTGGGAGAAGCTCCTTGTTTATTATTTGATTTCTTAATGCYCTCAGCTGCCTCCATTCTTATGGGAGACTTGGTGATTTATTTTCAATGAGTGGTGTGTTTAAACATGCAAGTCACCAAAGATGTGAGTTCTATGTATGAAAATATCATCAGTTTTCTTCTAAGTGCCCCCACTGCCCTGCAGTAAGTAAATACACTTTCAGTAGAACCTGTTCTCACGTGGTTTCACAAAATGATATTGTAGAATAAGTACAGCTTTCCATCTTGTTTTTTGGGTGCTTTTCTTTAAAACAATTTGTAAAATTGCATAAATTGGTACCACATGTAACTTCTGAATCGGATAAAACTTAAAATGGCAACACCTTTGGTAAGTTAGAAAATCAGCTGAGCTTAATGTTTGCATTATCAGTCATTTCTCATAACTCTTTTGTTATGAGAATTGTTATTCTCATAACAATTATGAGAATAAATATTCGAATGATCAAGATTATCTGACTTTTTCTTCTAACAATAGAAGAGCATCCAAGCTTTTAGGGACACAGGGACAARCCTGTGTCCTACATTAAGGGGATGAGTGCAGTGCGCTGGTACCTCTGGTGCCCTGTCAAGTTGCACCCTCACCAGCCTCTGGCTGGCTGGCTCAGGGTGACTTGCAGGAAGACAAAAAAATCACAGAACTATTAAGGCTGGAAAAACATCTCAAAGATCAAGTCCAATCTTTGCCCGATCCCCATCCTGTGAACCAAACYGCAGCACTGAGTACCATGTCCAGTCATTTCCTCCACGGATGGAGACTCCACCACCKGCCTGGACAGCCCCTTCCAAKGCCTGAAAACCCCTTCATGAAAAAAATCCTCATGTCCAACCTAAACCTCCCCTGGCAAAGGCTGAGATCATTCCCTCTTGTTCTGCCCATTCCCTGGGAGCAGAGCCCGACTGACTCTGACTGCCCCCTCCTGTCAGCCCCCCGGAGCTTCCTTTTCTCCAGGATGAGTCCCTTTCCCAGCTCCATCAGCTGCTCCTGATGCTCCAGACCCTTCCCCAGCTCTGTTCCCTTCTCTGGAAATGCTCCAGCCCCTCAAGGTGTTTTTTGTTGTGAGGGGCCCAGGATGTGAGGTGGGGCCTCAGCAGTGGCCAGCACAGGGAACGGGCACTGCCCTGCTCCTGCTGCCACAGCACAGCTGGGACAGGCCTGGGTGCCCTGCTCCTTCCTGCCCACCTGGGCACACCYGGGCTCCTGTTCAGCTGCTGCCACCAGCACCCGCAGGGCCTTTCCAGCCCCTCTGGCTCAGCCTGGAGCTGCAGGGAGTTGCTGTGACCCAAGGACAGGACCTGGCACTTGGCCTTTTTGACCCTCAGACCACTGACCTCGGGTCCAGCCTCTSCAGAYACAGCTGTGGAGCCTTCCTGCCCCAAGATCGTCACTGCCAGCACCCTTACTGTCATCTGCAAACTTAGTGAGGGTAAAGAACTTGATAGAGGAAATTAAAACACCTGAATGGCAGTTGAGGGGGACACAGGAACAAAGATGATGTTTTCTGCTTCGGCCTATCTTATGTAAGACTCAGCACCAGAGTAAGCTCTGGCAGTGACCTGATTTAGAAGACAAATACTTCGAGTCAGTTCCAGTAAATATGGTTGCTGTCACCTGCTTCAGCAAGTACAGCTATGCTGAAAATCTCAGCCCAGGCTGTTCTGGATGCTGAAGGGACTAATGAGAAGGACCATGAGCAAMGCTCACCCTGCCCAGAGCTTATGAAACACGAGTGAACGGCTGACCTGGCACGAACCGCTTCCCACACAGCCTGGAAAATTCATCTTGCTTCACTATTGATGACCTCTTTTCAAGGGAAATATTTACCTCCAACCAAGAATCCTGAAAAAGCACAGGAAACCAAAGAATGAGCCCAAGAATGAGTCAAATYTCTGAATTTGTTTGCTTACCCTTGGAGATACTTGCCAGGATTTTAARGCAGCACCTGACTTAAAAGAATAATAATCCTGTGATTAAATTATTTATACTTGAAACTGACTTGCAGATGCTTTTGCCAGCTAAAAAATAGATGAACTCTGAAGGCTTCAGAGCCTTAAAATACAGATTGCATGTCTGAGGATGTTTTGCAAACTTACTTAATCACAGTAGAAGACATGGGAATAAACCAGAAGCCTTTGTATTTAAAAAGGATGTCCAGTAGCAAGTGGAACACTGCTAATGCCCATGCAGCCTCAAAGGCAGATGGATGAGTCTCAGACCAGGTTTTCATATGTTTAGAACCAAAAGGAGAGACCAGGTTCTCTGCTGTGATCCTTCAGGAGGTCAGGAGGCAGAAGGATTCATGGCAGATTTTTGTTGTGGTTCCGAGCCCAGCTCTGGAGGRCTCCAAGTGAACAGGTACCCATCCCCTCCCTGCAGAGCTCCAAATCCAGCTCCTGSAATACCACAATGTGTTCAATATTGGAAGTATCTTTTTTTCTTTCCATTCTGTGTATCCCAAAAGCYGTGTGTTGCCAAATCCACTGGAACCTGCAATAGAGAAGTTGCAGTTGAAAATAGCTTGGTGTGTGTTCCCTGCCCTACAGCTCTGGATCCTTTCAGCTCCACAGGTTCCCAGGGGATGGGATACACAAGCAATCRTCATTTCTGTTGGTCAACTCAGCACAAAGGATGCTGTAAGAACAGCTGTTACATTTTTCAGGAGAAATCCACTCTAACAGCTTGTTTGTCTGAGTGACCTGAAAAATTATGATCCAACAATGAGAAGAATAAAATGGAAAAAACCTGGTATGTTTGTCCTGTACCCCCAAGTGTCTCAGTGCCAGACAAACAAGATCATGTTCACATGTAAGAGGTGATTCTCCTCCTCCACTCTGCCCTGGTGAGACCACACCTGAAACATTGCATCCGGGTCTGGGGGCTTCAGCACAAGGAAAATCTAGAGCTGCTGGAGCAAGTCCAGAGGAGGCCACAGGGATGCTCCAAGGGCTGGAGCCCCTCTACTCTGGAGCCAGGCTGGGAGAGCTGGGGGTGGGGGTGTTTACCAGGAGAAACCTACAGAGAAACCTCAGAGCCCCTTCCAGGGCCTAAGGGGCTCCAGGAGAGCTGGAGAGGGACTGGGGACAAGGGATGGAGGGACAGGACACAGGAAATGGCTTCCCACACTGCCAGAGGGCAGGGATAGATGGAATACTTGACAGGAATCGTTCCCTGTGAGGGTGGGGAGGTTTTGGCACAGGGTGCCCAGAGCAGCTGTGGCTGCCCCTGGATCCACGGCAGTGCCCAAGGCCAGGCTGGACAGGGCTTGGAGCAGCCTGGGACAGTGGGAGGTTGTCCCTGCCATRGCAGGGGGTTCAACGGGATGGGCTTTAAGGTTCCTTCCAACCCAAACCATCCTGGGATCGACCATGGCAGTAGCAGGGGAAGTTACATTCAAAACTAGGCCAAATCATCCCAAGTTTGAAGCCAGCAAACMTCAGCAGAGCCTGGGTATCTGTCTGCATCTGCCCTTGGTCAAAAATTAGAGGATTAGCTAAGTGCCAGAAAGACTTTTCTTCTTGTTTTTATGTCTTGATTAAAAAACCTCAAAGATACAAATCTGGCAATGAAAAATATCTAATACTCATACCTAATGTCTTTTGGAGAGGTTATGTATTTAGGAGAACACAAAGYAACACACACCCAGATCAGGTACAAAGTTTCCTGTACAAAACAGAGGTAGCTGCTCCCAGACAGCCTCTCCAAGCTGAACCACATGTGCAGATGGGCAAATATTCCAGTAGGAGAACAGTGAAAGGCAGCAAAGGTGGTACAGTCAAAAATCTTATTGAAGTTAGTGACCACTGTTGAGCCATAGATGAATGTCAGTCATACCGGAAGGGCTCTGCCTACCGTCACCTATTTCCTCCAAAGGAAAGGTTTTTCAGATTTCCAACACTGCTCTCTGGCCAGGCAATTCACTCCTCTGCAGCACTGAAAGTGTGACAGCCACGAGTGGGTACCAACAGTCCTGCAACAGTTGGTGGTTTGTAAAAAATAAATGCAGGAGGTTTTCCTGTGTGCCTCAGTCAGAACTTGTTCTGAGCTATGTTTAAATTAGTACAGTACACAGAGTTAAACCATTGCCTGCCTGGTTAAATACATTTGACAATGGAAATGAAGAAACTAAAAGACAAATTAGAAAATATAAAAGAATGTTTATTCCATTATTAATCACACACGTTTCTGATTTGTTTTCTGTTAGTAATTCCTACAGAATATTTACATGAAAACCAAGTACATCATTGGGCTTTGGGACATAACCAAAGAGAAATACCAGTAATAAAAACTGTAAATGAGATGAGACACATGAAAGTAAAACACCTATTCTTATGTAGAAAATTCAGATTTTTTGATTGCAGGTATGATACTTTGGAAATAAAATGATTAAAATGTTTTTGTTGAAGAAATTCTTGTAACCTACACCATTACTAGCAATACTGTATTTAGAAAATGCCTAAGTCCCTGAGCCAGCAGGTAAGAGCCTAGAAGATATTTATATCTCTATATATATTTTTAAAACCAAAAAATTTAAAAATTTTTTTTGCTTTTAGCCACAAACTCATAAAAGTAAAAAACTGCAGTAATCAATGATGGAAAGAGAGAGAGGAAAGTAGAGAGAAAAACTTCATTTCGCCACTTGAATTGCTGATAACAGACACTTGGTACCAGTTTAGCAGGTAAAGTTCACCCTGGCTCCTCCAGTTTACCAGATGAGCCCAGAAAAGGTGGCACTTCTAATTGGGTTTCCAGAAATTTGATATAAGAAAGAACCTTTTACAGTGAGGGTGGGGAGGTCCTGGCACAGGGTACCCACAGAAGCTGTGGMTGCCCCTGGATCCCTGGCAGTGYCCAAGGCCAGGCTGGACAGGGCTTGGAGCAGCCTGGGACAGTGGAASGTGCCCCTGCTCATGGCAGGGGTGCAATGAGATGATCYTTAAAGGTGCCTCGAATCCAAACTATTCTATGAATTAAATAAATACATAAAAAGCACAGAATACACAGAATAGCAGTTCATGGTAAGAAACTATTAACAATTAGGTTGTGTCTGTGCATGAAGGACAGGACATTTTAAATGTTCCAAAGAAGAAACAAGACAWATGAGCACCTGTGAACAAAACAGGACAAAAGAATGCTGTTTGTTTCCGTTTGTCTCATCTTTGCTTTAGCTAGAGTGGAAAAAAAGGAAAACCAAGGCACAGCTACCTTTACATGCTGCAAAGGAAGAGCCYTGCTGGGCTACACAGTACATGGGCTTGGTGCCAAGCTGTTAAATAAAGGACAATGTGACTGCCCAAATCGAAGGCCTGATATTTCTTATCACAGTGCAAATGACAAATTGCCACAAAAACCAAAGGCATGTAAAAAGAAAAGTCCTGTGAAGTGCTACCAGGTGATACTTCCTTGTTTCATGAGCTTATGCCACTTCTCTGAAAAAAAATTAAGTTTCTACAGAAATTGAAATGCCTATATTCCAGAAGAACAATGTCCTTGGGGCAAAATCAAATTTTTCTTAGATGCCAAACAGTTTAAATATTAGCACATGGGAAAATTCTAGATATACAAATGTGTTGGTTGTTGGAAATTTGAGAAAGCTGCTTGATGTGTCCAGCTTCTTTAGATTATTTCTCATTCTTCACTGTGTCCAGTGTAACTGGCTCAACTGCAAATGGCATCTAAMATGAATGCTCCAGGTCTCTGAAACACAAAGATATTGAGATTTTAGTCACATGGGAATTACAGTAAACGACATATTCRCTTTAAAGGGGGGTTTTAAGTTTTTTTGTGGAAAAGGGTGCTTAATAGCCAGTAAATGGTGATCATCCACTTCTCTCAGGGTTTTGAGGAGACTGGGACAAGAGACTGAAAACCATTTATTTTTCAAATTACATTCAGTTGACTAGATACTATTAGCAAGGRCAAAGTGTGCAAATGAGCAAATAAGAGCTGTAATGTTCCAAAGCAATACAGAACTTTCACATTTAACAAGTCTGGAGCAAGAAGACAGATTCTGGACACCACATTTGGCTGTTTAATTAGGAAACTGCAGTGTGAGAGCATGGAGGCAGGAGCCCACAGCTGCTGGTTCTGTACCATGTTTACTAAACTTGCTTTATACACGCCCTGGTCTTGCCTCTACCTGAGCTTACATAAACCAGCTGTTTGTCCTTTATTGAGGCACTGAACTATGTTTCATGCTCACATGACCATTACAGAGAAGTTACAGCAGAACTGTTTCTCGTGTAACCCAGCTTTCTAAGAAGGCATTTCACAATCTGGGTCATGACCAAGCCACAAAACCCTTTGGGTCAGAAGCTGATGGAGTGCAGACGGAATCGTAGAGGAGGAGCTCCAACACCAASGCTGCCACCACCACCTCCTTGCTAGCATGTGCCACCAGAGCAAACCAYGGCACAAACCCACTGATATTTCCTTATGCCTATTTCAGATTCTTGGCTCTGCCTCTGTCCCTGCATGTTTCATCCTGCAAAGGCAGCTAGAATTCCAATCACCCTTCATCTGCTCTCTTGGCTTTGCCAGTGTCATTCTGGGGCTCAGTATSGCTTTAACGTGTACTGCTGAAGTCAACATTCTACCTGTATTTCTGAYAATAGCTCAGATAATCTATGTTCTCTTTACAGATGAAATTAAGTATTTACTAGTCTTTTTGCAGTGACTATGGCCAGAAAATGCAATAAAACGATCTTGTTTCACTGCCAGAATTTCAGGGGTTTTGGTTAAAGCAGAAAATTACATCCACACCCTGAGATAAATTAATGTAGTTCTTTATCTTTCTAGCAATTTTTTGCATTGATTTCACCCCAATGCCATTTGCATGGATGATAAACTTTGCTCTGACTCCCACTCTTGTTACAGGTTCCTATTGTGCCATTCATCTACAGATTAATGGTTTAAAGGCCTTGTATCTTCCTTTTCATAGAGAAAGGGTTTCCTCTAGAAGTTTGCACAAAGCAGTAATGATACTTGCACAGGCTGTCTGTGTGGTAGCCAGTGTACCATGGTCTGTCAGCCTAGTAATTTCTTCTTTAGCAGGTATCTGACCCTGTGCTGACCTGAAAGACCAAGAGCCAGAGCAATGTTGGCACACACACAGACTTAGCAGTGCTATTTTAAAGGCAGATGTTGACCATAGTGCTTTTTGAGTCACAAGCCTACAATTTTGGTTTMTCTCCTCCCAAACTGCTATCCTAGCTAGGAAGATACCCAGTTTGATCCCCGTAATTCCTGTATTTATCCTTCTGTGTAAGTAAAGAACAAAGTTGAAAATGCAGGTAGAGCAACAACATTGTTCTAAAGGGCCACATGTGAAGTGATAGTGCTCATCTTTGTGGGCTGAGTCTCCACACAGCAAAGCCCTGTCCTGTGGAGGACAGAAGAGCCACACGATCTGCATAGGAACTGAGAGGCTTCAGCATGTGTGGTGTTGCATGTCAGACTTAGTAGCCCTAGTTACTTGGAAACAGATTGTCTTCAGGGTTAACTAACAGACTGCATGCAGCCCTGCCTTARAAAATGGAGAGGCATCTGAAGAAAGAAAAACACCACTATTTCCATTGTTGTCTTAGCAGTGAGGAAAAGGAGTGGCTAGGCCAGAATAATCCTTATACTTCCTATGCGTGACACATGTAAGGGGCCCCTGGCAGAGTGAGGTGCTGCCATCAACTTTTGAATTCCAAATTTACAAACACACTGTAATAACTTACCAGTTCCCAGCAGCTTCTGCTTTTTCATTCATGTTGAACCCGAGTATTTGCAAGGACTTGAACTGCACAGATAAGGTTGTTGCTGTTTCTAAACTGCCCCAGGGCACCCTTGTGTTTCCGGAYGCCACGCCCTGCTACCTCATGCTGCAGGGACACCACACTCACCTGGTTATTACTGTCTTGATGCTGACTCAGCCACTGGTTTCTGCACTCCAAAAGCAGTGATAAAAATATTCACAACTACTATAATGAATACTAGTCCAGTTGCAAGGTTGTTGAGGAAATTCAGCTTTCCATGTTTTGCAGGATTGTTAAGGTCATATTTTACTTCAAAGAAAAAGGAGAAAAAAAATGTTTAATGATATGTATATTTTAAAATCCAGAATAAAAGGTTTCATACTGATGTAGTTCAAGAATTTATCTTACTCTGAGCTATTTGATTCAGTCATATTTYAAAGGAAAGTCAGATTCTGCAGTGTCAGTAAAAGTGCTAAGGAGAAGCTCTGYAACCACAAGGAGCCTATTAATTAACATAATTAGCCAGTAATTAAAATCTAATCTCTGTGGAGACACATGGCAAGTAACGGATGAACTAACATCACTAGAAATCTTCTGAGTTCTTGATGTTTYGAAGCCTAGCTTTGTTGCAACCTTTAAGCATTTAAAAGTCTTGAATACATGAAGCTGGCAGCCCTGAGAGTGAAGTTAAATTTCCAAGCTAAAATGCTACAACTCTCTTTRCCAGTGCAGGATTTTTCTTGTACTGGTGACCTTTCTCAGCTTGTATTCCCTTGTACTCCCTGCTTTTGCCCTGATTATGTTTTTAGAAAGCAAGGGCACTCTATCTSTTAAACAAAGGGAGATGTCAGAGCAGTGTAGTGGCAGTCCTTTCAACAGAGAGCATCTGCTGTGTAAACATTTTCCTTTACTTCTTGCAGTTGTTTTTTTGGTTGAATTAATGTGAGTGAGGGAGGCTCACACAAGGGAGATAGCATTAATTTAGTGTAAGCTTTGATTCCAGGCCTTGTGATAGCACACAAATTAGTTACATTGGGCATAGGGCTGATATCTTGTTTAGGACAGTGAGAAGTTTGGGGCRCTTGCCTGGCATCATAGAATCATTAAGGCTGAAAAAGACCTCCAAGACCATTAGGTMTAACCTTTGACCAAATGCTATCGTGCCCACTGAAACAMCACATGAAAACCCAAGAGTTTCCTRTTTCTGTTCTCTGGCAGTAAAGGCTCTGCAGCTCAGACCCTTGGCTACATTTCTTTGGTGCTTGTGGAGAAAGCGCTGATGAATTCTGGAGTGTGTTTTGAGAATGGGTTTTGTATGGACTCTTAGTTTTCAAGAGAATAGATCACCGGAGTTGTGTCTGCATGTGCATAACACACGAGAGAAAGTTTATACCTGACGAGTTTTTACAGCAACACAGAGCTCCTTCTGATAGGCACATACATGGACATATAGCCTACAGCTCTACTACACGAGAGAAATCTTGTTATTTGCTTGTAACACAATGTATGTGTAACACACCCTGTTACATACTCCAGAAGTGAACTACAGAACGACTATCCCCTGTTGTTGAAGCGGTTAAGTCACAGTAAACACACTCGTGATGCTGCAATACCAACAGCCAGGCTCACCTGGGGGCCCTAATTAGGARGTCTAATGTGTTTTGGTTTCAAGGAATTCTGGGTGCCTGTTCAAGTCCTGTTTGCTAAAGCAGTGTAGTCAAACATCACATGCCAGGCAAAGCACTGAAGAGGYTGAAGTGTCTGAGAAGCTACTGCACCTGTGTAGGAATGAAATAATTTAAGTTCAGTAKTACTTCAGCTTAAAAATGAGTTTACACATCTGGAAAGCATCTGGAGGCATGTGGATGCTTGCAGTCCAACAGGACCTGGAAGGACTCTAGTACTGGCATGTGAATGAAGAAGAATAAATGAAATAGCACAACTAATTTGGAAATATGGAGTACGAGCATTTGTGACGGTTGGTTTAAAAAGGAAGGCAACAATGGCCTAACTTGTTACAAGAGTTAAAAGAAATCATGCTGAAAGACAAACTGACATTTTTAGAGCTGACCCTTTGTGTAAAGGAGGCTCAAAGAAGACAAGTAAGTAAWACTTGTCAGTTTAGGAAGAGCTCTAAATTTTGAAGTAATCTATCTTTGTAATTACAGTACTTAAGATGAGGATGTTTGTGAAAACGTTCTTAAGAACAGTTATTCTTTAAGTATTTTATTATAGTGGATTACTATAATTTTATGCCACTGAAACTATTTAAAGACATTCTTTGCTTTTCTTCCAAAAAGTTAAGGTTATCAAATCACTTGGAAGGACAAGTTTGCTGAACATTTCTCACATTGTTTTTRTGAAAAGCTCTTTTGAAGAAGGAGAAGCTTTTAATACCTAGTAGAAACTGTGAGAGCTGGTAGCTCCCAGGATGAAGCCCTGACTCAAGGAAAGAAACTGGATGGTGGCACAAGCTTTTATTTGGTCTTGTGAGARCTTGTAGAGACAGAATTTCATAGCTGGACAAAAACAAACTATTCCTGCAAGCCAAAACTATCAAACATACACTGTGAAAAGCTAGTTCTTGCTTTGATGGCTGTATCTTCATAACTTCATGTCCTATTGCCTGTCTTCTTCCCATCTCTTGACCTCAGCAGGACAGCATTGCTCCAACAGTGTGTCACCATAAGCCAAGGGCTCTGCCACCCTCAATGTGACCAAGATAAAACTGACAGCAATTTAAACCGTTTCAGCCATGTCTTGCAGAAACAAGGATTAAAAACCAGTATCTGAGCATACATTGAGAAATTATTGCCCAACAGAAAGACAGGAAGCTTGTTTACAGTCTCAGRGCCTGCTGAAACAATCAGGGAGATGCCTTCAACTGAGGAACATAGAATTATTTTGCTGATTTTTCCACTACTCTCTTCCCACACCCAGCATCAACATATGGTTTTTTCCTAGTCCCTTTCTGCAATCTCTTCTGAGCCAAGACCYGGATTCTGCTCTTGTACCAACTTTACCAAATGCAGAAACAGCTGTATTCCATCTCTTTYGTAAAAAAGAAAAAAAGCTATGTCAACTGCATATCGATTTTAAAAGCCATRTATATCCTGGATCCCTAGGAACTTCTTCCTTGAACAGAATGTTGTTTTTTCAGCTGTGAYAAAAGGGCAGAATACTGAAAGATTGAGAGGGATGCCAAAGGTGCCAATCATAACTCAGTAAATGCCTGTGTGAACTCTGCCTTCTCATCCACATTAGGCCCAAGCTCAGTTATCTCACTAAAGTAAAGGGCAAGAGTTGAAAAATGTTATTAGAATAAATGATGACATATCAATAGCAGAAGTGATCCACAGCTCTTTCCTACCAGTGGAAGTGTCATTTATTCCTGTGAATAATGGGGTTCAACATTTCCTCCGATTTCTACTAGTATCTCTGATTCTCCAAAATGATAGTCTAGGGCTGCTGCTAATTTATGTTGCAGGTTTTCAGCAATTCTGCAAAGTGCCACTGGATTATTTCTGCATTTTGCCTCACAAMAGCACAGGGGAAAATACCACAGTAGATTAAGATAGCAAAGAGCGTTACTGAAGGCTTATTTAAAGTCAAAATAGAAACCCCAGATTTCCAGAATAGTGATGTCTCTCCCCTCTCTGTGGTGTTTCAGTCAGGCTTTTTTGAGCAATTCATGCYCACTTAGCAATGACAATGTTCTACAAGTAAGTCTGGTTCTACAGCTACTTAGAGCAATATTCGGCCTTACAGAGTAAGGCAGAGGGTATAGAATGTAAATGTACTATTAATTTAGCAATGCTACCTTAAAATACCTATTTTTTAGTGATAAATACCAAGTCCCGTRTCTCAGTGTTGTACTTATTAACATTCAATGTCTCTTTTTGAGAACAGCATAATCACTGCATTGAACTTGCAGGAGTGTTAAGGTCTGTAATTCAACAAACAAGACAGAAAGKGGAGAAGGGAACTAATTCTACAGCTGCCTCATTAAATGTGTCCAAAGCACACACTAACACAACTCCTATTTGAACTCATTCTCTGAAGTGATTTCTAGCATATGTTAAAGGTATTCCATCAATGTTCTTGGCCAGAAAGTAGAAAAGGTTTCCTTAGCAATAGGCAGAATTCAGTATGATCAACCTGCAGTTCCAAGATGCTACTCAGAATGTATTTTACTATCACATGTCACTTCAAGTTTTGGACTGAAGTCATGTGGGTAACAGGTGAGATACACTCTTAGGAGGAAACGTTGCTTCAAGGAATCTTGCTTTTTAAATTTAATTTCAGTTCAACATGGATTTGAAAATTAACAATACCAAGTATATTTATACCATTTCCCACCCAGAGATTTGGGATCTCCAGGTGGAGAATGGTAGATGCAGTTTGATTGCAACACAGTCAAGCTGAAGAAAACATGCCACACCAACATGAAGATGGACACTTTGACTTTCACTTCTCTTTTGGAGTTCTGCATTTACAATTCTTATATCTTTCTTATATGACTGATATGCAAGAGAAACATTTCAGTCACAAGATGAAGTAAGAGGTCTTGCCAAAAACAGTATTATGAAACTGGATAGACTGCATTATCCTATCTGGCCTACTGATATTTCTTTTATATTTCATTATTTTCCTTCCTYCTCAGGCTTTCTGAAGAGAAAAACATTCATAGTCTAGGCAAATGAGTAGGAGGAAGTTGATAAAAATTGAAGATTTCACATAAAGCTGCCCTTCCTCCCTTTGTTGCAGTATTTCCATGGTTTCAAGAGAAAATCTGTATTTTTGGATATTAGGAAACATTTCTTCACTGAAAGGGTTGTCAAGAATTGGAACAGGCTGCCCAGGAAAGTGGTTGAGCCCCCATCCCTGGAGGTAATTAAAAGATATGTAGTTGTTGTAAAAGACATGTTTATGTACATGGTTTAGTGTGAACATGGCAGTGCTGGGTTAACTTTTGGACTAGATGATCTTAGGGGTCTTTTCCAACCTAAATGATTCTATGATTTGCAATTGGTTCTGAGGTAAAGGCTTTTTAAAAGCARATGGTGTATCTATATACTATCATACAAGCTGTGTCCTGTAAGAAAAATACATGTTGCTACCTACCAAGGAATATCAGGAGCACTCCTACCATAACTTGCAGGGTGAGTGACAGACTGATAAGAATGATCAGCGGGATGTAGAAGGAAAAAGAAGGCCCTTGYTCCATCACGGCTTTGAGCTGGGACGCGTTGGCCATCAGCAGGGCGATGTCCAGCATGCTCTCGGCRGCGCTCTTCTTGTTGGCGTAGTGGTTGATGTTGATGGGTCGGTTCCTTTGGAACCACGGTGATGTTCTGTGCTGAAGTCAGCAGAGAGGAAAACGGTTATTGACATCTCTTTTAATTGGTGGTGASTGAGAGATCACTCAGCCCATCAACTGATTTCTGTAATCACATGGGCAGAGCTGCAGCAGTACTGAGATAATCTGGGCAGCCCTCCCACAGTTACTCCCAACCTCCAGACAGGAGAGCAGAAAACAGTGCCTGCTGTATKGCCCTCTGGCACTTTTGCCAGCTTGCCTGTTTCTACCATGGGAAAAGGAAAGACTAGGAAAGCTGAAAAGCTTGCACTGAAAGCAGACAGGGAAAAACCACTATAACACAATCCAGCAAATAACAGGTTGTTGTGACAAATTTACTCCCGAAGATATGCTTAAAAATACAGATAATTATTAAATTAGTTTTCTCTCATCACACATCTAAAAAGTTACTTTACTATTCATGARTCTTATTTTAAGGATTGATGTGAACCTGGTCACTGTATGAGCTTTGCTTACCCTCCTTTCCCTGCTACTCCTTCCTCCACCATGCCACTGTCCAGGGCCATGCATACACCCACATCCAGATGTTTTTCCACTTAACTATCATATGATCTGTTGTTGCCAAGAACTGCCCAGTTACAAGAGAATCTTTTGTTTTCCATTTTCACATCAGCTGTTTTTGGTTTGGGATTGTTTTTTTGTTTGGGTTTTTAACTTTTTTTTTTAATTAAAAAAACAGGAAAATAAAAAAACCCAGGAAAATAAAAACCAACTGCAGGGCAAACCCAGAGCTAGTTAATCCAACAGGATGAGCATATGAGTGTTTCCTGGTCATGATTCATGTGACCCGACCTGAAAACTGATGCTTATCTCCCCAGGGTGCCTAGTTCTCCATGGATTAGATGCACCTTAGGGTMACTAAGTTAGACTTAGCCGCCCAGCTCCACAAGGAAGGAAGTGTAGGTGATCCTCTATCCTGCTGCCTCTGAATAGGTTAGGAATTTAATTCTTGCTGCTYTTACTTTTAGGCTTTATTTTCAAAAATAATAGACAAATATATGAAGAGTCAGCTTATCCTAGCTGGCTTCTTTAAACCTCCTTCTCAGAGGCCTTTTTACTGCYCAAATATGTTCCTGCTTGCCAGAAAATTCTGTGAAGAAGCATGGCTTCACAGGTCAGTTCACAAGCTTTTTTTTCTGCCAAGAAAAGCAGTCATGTAATAGCAGCTCCACTCAGCTTCTTCATGAGAGCAAGCTCTTGGGAAGAAAATGGCTCTGAGTCGGATGCTGACCTTCAGTCAGGAAGAACTTGATATTTGGTTTTGTCTAAATCCCATGATCAAAAAACATACTCTGAATGGAGAATTTATCCCACACTTGTTACCTTTCTTCTCAAARAGAGCTTCCTATTTTCACCCCCCTGCCCCATTACACTACAACATTTGGATACTTCAGGAAAAACACTGCAACTCCTGCATACCATCCACCAGAAGCACTAAACCAGGAGCAGATGTTCATGTTTCCCTTACGAAAGGAAAGCAGCACTGAATATTTGCTGGCAGTACTCAGCAGAAAATCCAGACTAACATTTTTCACTGTTCATTGTGCAGTAAAAAGCCAAACACTCTTGGCTATCTGAGGCACCAATGGAATAGGAGATGGGGAACTATGCATGAAATAGTGAATTCCATTTCTCAGCAGGAATKAAAAGAAATTGTTCTCAGCACATAGTAGAAGTAATTTCTACTTTGTTGCAAGCTCATAACAGCAGATCTTCTTCCTATGTTAAGGAGCTAATTAACCTCTTCTTGCCACAAATACTGACTTTGAAATATCTACCAGGGTAGCTGCAAGTCAGTTCTTAATTCTGATGGGAGGGGACTGCAGTGAAAACATGACAACTGATTTCTTTGTCTTCACTCTGTGTTGGAGTGTGAACATGTTTGGCTTTTTTTAAAAACTACACAAAAGAGTAAACAGCATGGGCAAYGTTTTCCTTTCAGGTACATCTGTGACTCCATGATGGAAGACAGTTCACGATCTTTTCCCTGGGGAAATGCACTGCTGCACTTTCAGGACCTTGCTGTTTGCTAATTTTCTGTATGGCAGAAATAGYAGACTCTGGCATTTGAACTCTGGGGCAAGCAAAGAGCCTGAGTSACTTCTGGACTCCAATAAATGGAGACTTCAAAATAGGGAGCTGCTAAGGAAAACTACGACAAAACTTCATTCCTGGAATGACAACTCAGCTATTAACTGTGTTTAGTTTTCCAAAACGTGGCATTTTACTCAGTTAAGAGGCTTTCAGCTACCATTCCTGAAAGCAGACCAGTTCAATACTGGAACTAGGCATATGGAGAACTCTAATGTCAGAGCTTTTCCTCAGCCTTTTCCTCTTGCCTTYACCAGGAACAATGAGCTGTAAACATGAAAACCCCAGAAACATGCACTTCCTGTCTCCTGACTGATGYTGGGAAACCATAAAACAAAACAATAAAAAAAGCAAATTAGCCTTTTCTTCTGGGAGCAAGCTGAAGGCCGGGAGTATTGAAACTGATGCAGTCAGTATTACATGGACACTTTTTAAGATCAGACAGTGTTACACAGAAATATACAGAGAGGCAATGAAAGAAGAGATGCTGCCTTGACCTCAGGAGAGTGACAGTTGTATACAACAGAAATTATAGCAGAACTTCATTATGTGACTTTATGGTTTCAGGGAGATTCCAAGCATGTAGCAACATGTGTAGCCCACAGCACCAAACAACACTCACAGTACCATGCTCACCTGCAGGGCTGCAGAGAGGGAAAGTGCAATGTCTGGAGATTGTCTAGGATGCAGGTAAAGTAAGGCTTTTCCTGCAGGTGTCACTTGGCAAAAGAGCAGTATGCATTCCATACAACCCACTTCAGTCTCAGTGTAACCAAAACACCTTGTCACACACATTCAATATTCAAATTASTTGGTAGAGACAAGCTAAGCCCTTGTGTTGGTATCTCCAAAGGAGTTTGAACAAATCAGCACATGCGTATTCACAAGTGTCTAAGAGCCAGGTGCAGCTGGGACTGCATTCCCTGCACTATTSCCTGCCTGCCTACAGGTTCCCAGTGCTGCAAAGCTTCAGCCTCTCAGCACAACAATCAGCCCTGCTGGTCTATGCACAGCTAGATAATGGACAGGAGTGAAAAGCCTCTCCCTCCTCCTCTATCTGTAACTGGAAGAATCCCATGGAAGAGCTTATTTTCACAGGGACATGGTGGTGACCCCACAGACAGTACCCTGTGAGGGTCTCTTCACAGAAACAGGGTCTGTTTGCTTGCCMAGAGCGTTGCACTCTGCAAGGAGAACGCTACAATTACATGTCATAAACTGTCATTCTTTTGGTTCTGTAAGACCAAACCTYCACTCCAAGATTGCATCATATTGGTTTACAGTCTCCCAGTATTGGTACAGACTTTGCCACTACTTTGCGTCACTCCCCATTTCAGTGGTACACCCAGGAGAACTGAGTCCCTTTGAAATACACAAAGGATTTATTCATTACATTTACTAGAAAACAAATAGAAGCAGCTCTGGGATAAATGTCCTTAGGCGCTGAGTTTCATGAATCACAGCTAAGCCTCACCTGGTGATTCAACAGGAAGGAAACTGCACTGAAAATGGAAATATTTGAAAAATGAACAATAAAGTATCTTTGCTAAATACAGTAACTTGTTATAGTAAGGATTACAGCAGTTTTCTTTCTATTTGSGAGTTAGTTATTAATGCAATTCTGTGGGTCACGAGCCTTGATTCAAAACGAGACTGGACCAGAATGACCTCTGGGTTTGTAAGGCYATAGAGCAAGCTTCATGAAAAATCTCATATTCAGGAGTAAATCTGAATTMTAAAACAATGGAAACTAGCAACATAATAATGAGGTTGTGCAGAACTAAAGCTGAACCACACTGAACTTACAGTGGGGCTGCTCTTTACTGTGTTCTGCAACAGTCTTCCCAATCAGAACTGTTAAAAAGATGCTAAAAAGCAATTTTGTTTAAAAAGTAATTTGCTAAGGTTCTGAAGTATTAATCTTTCAGAAAAAAATGCCATATGGCTGATTTTCCCAGAACTTTGAGGGGAAACATAATGTTTTTAAAAAATTCCAGTTAAATCAAAAAAGAGGCAGATAAGACAKAAAAGGAATAATACAGGACTAAATTAGAACACAATTTCAGAACTTTTTTTTTCCTAAGACCACACCTACAGTAAGAGGATTCAACTAGCAACTTTATACTCGTATTTAATAATCCTTATAGTYGTGGAATTTCTGTCCACATCTCCATCACCTACACACTTAAATTGCAAAGGGTGAGATATATGGCCACTCTGAAGTCAGATTTCCCCTCCACCTCAGAGATAATCTAAAAAAACCCCACGTAAAATATTCTACAAGGAAAGAAATATTCTTCCAACAAAAATATTTAAGCTATATTGGTCACGTAATGAATGATTACAGAACTACAGAATAGGCTGAACTGAAAGAAACACACAGTGACCATGGAGTCCCACCCCTCGCCCTGCCCAGAGCCCCCCAACAACCCCATCATKTGYATYCCTGGCAGCACTGTCCAAAAGCTCCTGGAGCTCYGGCAGYSTCRGGGCYRGGACYRTTCCCTGGRGAGCCTGGGCAGTGCCAGCACCCTCTGGGGSAAGAACTGATCTCCACCCTAACCTTCCCTGGACACAACTGCAGGCCATTCCCTCAGATTCTGTCAGAGCTCACCATGATCACCAGGATCAGAGAGATAGTGCCTGCCCTCCTSTCCCTCACAAGGAAGCAGCTGACCCCCATGAGTCTCCCCTCAGTCTCTGCCAGCTGAACAGAACAAGTGCCCTCAGCTACTCCTGACTTCCCCTCCAGGCCCTTCACCATCCTCATGGTCTCCTTGGGATGCTCTCTAATAGATCCTTTGTACACCTCCTCAGAAGATATTTTGTGGTTTTCCCTTCAGTAAAACATTAGATCACTTGTTCATCTGAGCTCTGACTTAAGAGTGGAAAAGCCCCTATCACTGACTCTGGAATGAGTCATCAGTTTAATTTCCTAGGGAAATTTCATTTTGAGGAAAGGGGGGAGATGTCCATCCAAGTACCAACGCAGAGCAGCACTAACTGGTGCTACATCTGGAGATGGTGTGGTTGCAAGTAAATACAAAAAAAAAAAAAAAAGAAAAGAAAAAAGGGAAAACCTCAGCATCTGCTCATATTTCGTAGACATCATGATTTTCTAGCAGCTTTAAAACCCTGTGTTTAACAAGGATCACTTTCTATACAAACAGAAAATGCAAATATGACTACATTATGAAAAAAAAGGGCAATTCTGTTGACTTCTAAGAGCTAAAAAACTWAATATTAAAAAAGGGGAAAGTACAGTCTGCTGAGAACAGAGCACTGCTTTCCTAAAGTTGTACTTGTTCCAGGATACTCCAGTTAGAATATTTCTACTCATTACCTTACTTAAAAATAACCAGCACACCTCATTACTAACTTCACGAAATGAAGTAACCTAAACTTACCCACACAGCTATTTAAACAGAAGTTTGCTCCTGTATAATTTTTTTCTGCCTTGCATTATTACGAGTCATTCCAGTCATTTGGTTTTACAACACTATTTCTCACAGCTGGGCTGTAGACTATGTTTTTTGTGGTTAAAACACTGTTTACTTTAGTTATTTAAAAAAACAGGCCAACAAAAACTTATCACCAATAGTATCAATATTTGGAGCACAGKGAATACTCCAAACTCAATATGAGTGATGTTTTATAACATAYCATTTCAGGCTATATGCAGAAAAAYARTTTCAAGTTCCTACAGGCTGATTACTTGCAGTATGATGCCATGAAACTGCCATGTTCCAAATTACTTAGATGTTCCAAATTGCTTCTCAATTAATATACAGATTTAAATACATTTTTAGGAATAACATGATTAAACCATTCGTTTCTACTATCCAGTTCTTGTTCACCATTTTCATAGCTCCTCTTTAACCAACACTCCTTTCACCAAACACGTCCTGTTATTTTGGAAACACTTAACTAGAGCTTACAACACAGTGGACAGGAGAGCGCTTCAATATGGACCATGAACAAGGAAAGCAACAAGACGGATGAAAAAGTTACAATCTGTATTTGTATGAACAGATCCTTTGAAGAAGAGATAGTTCCACCAGGTGTAATTACTACACACATTAGTCAGTGAGGTGTGCCACACCAGCCCAGTTCTAGAAGCAAGGAATTTCTTGCTTCTAAAAGCTTGAGAGCTGCTAAAAAATGTATCCAARTTGGTGGAGTAAAAATAAACCACATCAAACCATTGTGTGACCACTTGTTCAGAACTACAGAGAGCGTAACTGGTCTTTTTTRAATTTGCATGCTTTGATAGCTTTGAAGGTAACACAACTACACCTGCCTTTCATATCAGCTCTTCTGAATGAGAAGGTAGTGGTCTGCCTCCCCATACAGATGAGAAGATGTGCAAGAGTCTGTCTTGAGCAGAGGACAGGGGCTGGGGTGCGCAGAAACAAAACCAGGGTGGCCCATGCCTGTGAACGTTCRTAAAAGCAGACACATTTTTGACTCCAATAAGGAATATTTAGGGACCTGCGGATGGTCTCTCCAGGKGGCTGCTGAGCTGAGGTGTTCTTTTGCATGAATTGTGAACACTGGCAGATTTTTAAAGGTATCTTCTATCCAGAGATTGGTTTGCAAAAAATCTGTCTCCATATGTTTCACCTTACATATACTTGGTGTGCTTGTGTGCGAGAAAATGAAAAAAAGCATCTATGAAGTCCCCTGAAGTGCCATTGTATACATTTAAAACAATATAACAGGATGTCTCAATGCTTATTCTTTATATGGCACTCACAGAGAACTTGAGTCTCAACGAGAAAGATACAACAAAATGAGAATTGCTTGCAAATGAAGTAAAACAGGAAAGTTGATGAAAAATTCTTGGATCAGATCATATTGGGAAAAATAAACCCCATCATATTGGGGGAAAAAAAACCATCAAGATCACAATCACAAAGCTGTGTCAAGAAAATGAGAGAACTACTGAGAAGTCAGAGGTTTAGAGGAAACCACTCCAGACCACAAGTTTCACCTGCCTCRATTCACTTTAGGTAGGATTTCCAGAATTTATGAAAACCAGATTTTCATTTTTCTTGGTTTGATATTCATGACTCCAAGGGTTTGTCAGRAAGGGAGGGATGGAAGAAGGACAGATGTGCTACACAATCAGCCCAGTCTGTCTGTAACCAGAAAGTTTTACCGGTGACACAGAAGACGGTTTAGTACAACAGTTTCTATGTGACTGAGACTTAGGCTCTTAGGAATAAGAGCTGCCTTTAGAGTTCAGTCCTTTCCAAAACAMGATAAAAAGACACTCTTTTACCAGTCTGTTTTTTCAGATAAGTAGCATGCTCAGCGAACATCCTTCATACTTAAACAGAATAGTTGATGCATACTTTCCAGTGAGGATCTCTGGTCATGTTTTGAATACACGGAGTAGGAAAAAGTTGGGAATTCTTGTTTTTATTTRGATTACTGCATGGAAAATTAACCACACAGACCCAACGCCGTCAGTAATTCCTCCTACTTYTGTCATCGCTTATTCTGCGTGGATATGCTCTCCCAAGTCACCTGGATGGACAAAGCCCTGCAGGTGCGGCGGGCTGTGGGCGGGCAGGGCCCTGGTGACAGGTGTCACCTGGAGCCAGGGGCCCGGCCTGCCAGGGATGCTCYGCTCCGCCCGTGTGGCGGGACCCGTGCCGCGGCTCCCTACASAAACAGCGCGGAATCCATGGAAGACGGGTAAAAACTCAGCTATAACCGAGAAGCACCGACCATCRGGGCGCGGCCGCAGACCGCCCGCACATCGCAGAGCTCCCCCGCCAGCGGCCCCGCCAAGGCCCGGCCCGGCCCTCACCCGCTCCTCGGCCGCCGCCTCCGCGCCCTCCGCCTGCCCGTTGAGCTCGTGGGTCTCGCTGCCGGAGTCCATCGCGGCTGCCGCGGGTTCCTCCTGTCCCGGACCGGCCGGGGCCGCGGAGGGGAAAGGTCTCCGCGAAGCAGCGACTCCCGCAGCTGGCCCGGCCTCCCCGCGCAGCGCCCCGGGGACGCTCCCGCCGCCGGGGCCGCCTTTCCCCCGCTCTTCCTCCGCCTCCTTCCCCTCCTCTCCCCGCTCTTCCACCTCCTCCCTCCCACCCTCTCTGCCGGCGGGCGGAGGTTTCCGCGCCGGGCTCGACGCTCGCCCTGCGGCCCCTTGTGGGTGCAGGAGCTGCAGCCGCAGCGGAGCCCGGCCCACACCGGCACCGAGCGAAACCCAGCCAGTCGGGCTGAGCCCCAATTCCCAGTGTTGGCCAAGAATCACATCGCGTGTTATTCGGATATGTAGGGAATTGTTAGTGCATTCAGATGGTTCGTTTCAGAAATCTCTGTCTTGACAAAGTGGAAGGGTAGAGTTTGATTTTTAAGAGCCCTCTGATCAGTATTTTTAGGGTTTCAGTGTCATTATCCTTTTTTTCCTCATCCTATACATTTTTGTCTCCCTATGCTTATTTTCTCTCCAGCACTGAGGAAGCACATAGACATATGACATAGACATATGACATATAACAGAGCACGTATGACAAAGAGCAAGTACAAAAACAACATACGGGTTTGATGATGCTGGGACATCAGAGGAATTCATAAATGCGTAGAAACAACTGCCAGCAAGAGCAGAAATGTGAACAATAAGTAATTGGGTTTTATGTGACCACATGTGATCTATTAAAGCCTGAACTGCTCATCTGCACTGAAAATGTTCCTGAGTAGCTGTTAACCGAGCCACTTTCTATGTGAAGAGTCCAAATGTGTATTCCCCAAGGGAAACACCTTCAAAATCCACTATGTTAGGAATTGCTTTTCTTGTCCTCTAAAGAGAATTAAAGGATATTCTAATTACAGAATGCAAGCAAACATGTAGAATATAAACAAGCATACAGAATGTATATATATGTAAATATAATTTGATTTTTTTTAATAGTAAAAAATTGAAAGTGTAGGCTGAGGTTTAAGGACTGTCACCCATGAAGTAAAAATCTCCCCCATACACCATATCCCTGCACCTTTACCCATGCAGCAGTTGAGCTCACCTCTCTAATATGCAATAACTTCTGAGCAGGTAGGAGAGGGGAATTGTGGCAGCCACCTTAAAATTTTATGTGTCTCTGACTGTTTAGTCCTTTGGAATTTCTCCACTGGGATTTGATGGAAATTCATATTCACCTCAGCTTTACACTGCACTGACTTCTCATAGCCGACTTCTGTTTGGGAGTTCACAGTGATTTTTTGTTAAAGCAGGCTTAATTGGCAACTGAATCCRTTTTTGGAGTCTGCATGAAAGCATATGGACAATCACATGTGGCAAGGTAGAAATTAAGCACATGTTTGGCTTTTATTTTTCATGCTAAAGATTGCTGAAGATTTCATTTCACTGTTCTCCACACTGTGCTGATCATAAATGTTCATCACACAAAACTCCTTTGACACAATGTACACTCGCAAGTCACTGCCTTCACAAATGACACAGTCAACATTTATTTAWTTAGACTTTACAGGAAATCCTCATCTATGTTGATTCCTTGGCTGCCTCTTTAGTGTGGTGGGCTAGGAAACAGTAATTTAGAAAGAGAAATTAAGTTTGTTATAGTCCATAGAAAATGGAACAGACGATGTATTACAAGAGCAAAGATATATGTGTATGCATATAAACCACACTGTTGTCAGTTCTTAACAAGTCCAAGGCTTAAAAAAGCACATTGCTTTCCTTAATTTTTGAGTTTGTGGTAGCTAAACTTCAGTTATATGCTCAGCTAGGCCAGTCTTTATCAGATATGTAGCCTGTTCATTTAACAGATATTAAATATTCATGGACCATAATTGTTGCTGCATTTGGATCCCAAGACACCCTGGTCAGAGCCCTCTCTGGTTGCAAGCATCCAGTGACATTTTCAGAGATACTGCTATATCTTTAATGACCCYTTTTTCATCTTCTGTACCTCCTTGCAAATGCATTTTGAGAAACTTGTTTGGTAGTTGTGAAAGTTTGCTGTGCTCTAGTGAAATTATTCTGCCCTTCGTCCTAGAAATGTGAGATCTGCTCTTTGTACATGACACTGATGGTGCTGAGTGATTCCTCCTGTGTGCTAACTCACCTTTTGCTGCACAATCACATGCCAAAGAGACCTGTGAGTAGGACCTGTTGTTAATCCTATGGGAAATGAGTGTAATTTCAGTGGAACTGGTAAACAACTTCATTTGTGTTAGTGAAACATACAGTCTGACACTGTCAGTTCTCTGTTGAAACTTTGCATTTGTCAGTTTAGTATAATGTTTTTAACAGTGAAATTTCCTTTTACCCAGCCTTTGARTTAGTTCTGTGGGTTGAATCTGGAAAAAAAAAATTTTTTGCAGCTCATGAACAAGACCCTGCACTCCCTACAGGGAAATTGATTCAGACGCMAAGTGTGGTAAGAGAAAGGCAGACTGGTGATGTGATCAGTCTGCAGCCATGGAAGGAAGCAACAAGACAACACTCTGTGGTAGGTAGGTCTTGTTTGCGTGTGAATTACAAAAAGAGAGCCTGCAAGTGCTGTCACAGGAATCTGAGTTAGGAGTTTTGCTGAGTGTTTTGCAGACCAGATATTGGAGGGAACAGAGACAATACTTGGGACCACTGTCAGAACAGCCATTGAAATCTGGATGGAAATATTGAAAACAACAAAAACCCCACTGCTCTGCATCTTTGCATCTTAGCTGTGTAAGGAATGTCCAGTCTCTATTAGACTGTCAAGCAGTTAATAATTAATAACCATTATAACAATTTTATATTTTTTTCCTCAAAATCACTGTGATGACTATGTGATCATAGTCATGATCAGGCACAGGATGATCCTAAGACTCTGCTGAAACTCAACTAGAAAGGATAACACTTTGCTTTTCACAAAAAGGTTAAGAGTTTTTTGCTTTAACTTGGTTTTTGGGAGGGATTTTCATTTTATYTTGCTAGGGATTAGTTTTCTCTGGCCGTATACTATTTAGGTGGCCAAAGAGTCAATCGGAAGAAACTCAAAATAAAAAGTATATGGTACTCCCTGGCATTTGTAGCCACCATAAAAGCAAGATATGGTTCAAACTGGTACTTCTGAACTAGAGTACAAGTCTAAGTAAAGAGATTGGTACGATCTTCCTGTGGGAAAACGGATCAGTCATTCAAAAGCATAGAAGTGAGGGAACTAAGAAGAAGAGTGCTGATGATGAAAAATGAGACTGCTTGAGGTRTTTAATATGGATATAGAGGTTGTAATTCCCAGACTAGTATTTTGCGTCACCTTTTATAATCTCC